CCTGACCTTTCTTCAGAAGCAAGAATGAACTTTATGTTGTCCCTGTGAATAATGCAAAGTTAAATAATACGAGGATGTTGAACATAGTTTTAAAGAATAACAAATTATGGATTCTTCCCTTCCCTTCTGACTGTTACTATTTTTAAACCAAATTCATTGAGATATGTTTATAATTTTCCAGCTGTGAGCAGCTCAGCTAAGTACTAGGCAGTGCGAGGTCTGTTTCCTCTCTGTCTCTTTCTAATAATTAGGAACCTAGCCAAGCAATACGGTAGAAAGAAAACTTAATTTCTTCCTTTAATTTAATTTGAATAGAGAACACTGTTGGGAACATAGCAAAGCCATCCTTTTTCATTCAGTAGTTTGGGAAGCCTCTCCCAGATTCTACCGCCCAGAAACGTCTCTAGTCAACGCAAGGGATGAAAAAGGAACATTCTTCAATTAGCATCCTACAGCAAGCAGCAGGGCGTGTTGCTGACGAAAACCCCACGCGATGGAGCTTGTGCGGCTCGCATGCCCTCTTCCAAGCAGTGCTTTTGATATTAGAACAGAGGGTGCAATGTTGAGGCAATTAATGGGATAGACATGGTGCTTAATTGACGAAGAAATAAATTTGAGCACCGAAGATTTGAGCATTGTACACAGCGCGTAACATGACAGAACCTGCCCAACAGTTTAAGGCTGGCACGGAGACCTGTTTCAGCCAAGGCTGATCCCTTTAGAGCAGCCTTCTGGGGGGCCCCGTGGCAGGAATGGTGTGGCCTGCCCCAAAACTAGGTAGAGCAGCACAATCAGCTGGATAAGGCTCAGTTGATTAGAGTGTGGGGCTGATAATTGGCAAGGTTGAAGGTTCAATTCCCATAAGGGACAGCTGCATATTCTCTGGACTAAGGTGATCCACAGGATCCCTTCCAGCTCTATGAATCTATGTGGCTCTTGCCAATCATACAGTAGGCCTGTAAATGCCACAGAACACCAGTTGCTTCCACGCACAACCTCTCCATCTTCTATCTAGGCAAGCAAGGGGCATCTTGTTCCCATTCATCAGTTCTCATAAGGATGGTTTGTGGTGTCTCTTGAACCCAATGGACTAAAGTAGCAGCAAATTCGTGTGTCTGGCTGCCTGCTGTTGCTCCATCCATGTACAAGGTGCTTTACAAAGAACAACAGAGCACAGAGGAGGAAAGAAGGGAGAGAAACATAATATCAGGCTCAGCAGAGAGTGAAGAAGAGATAGCTGGAATGGAGTGAGGAGCTGGAGTACAATTGCAGCTTTAATGCGCATTTAACTTCCACAATTTCAACCATGCCATGGTTGAAGACTGGTTGAAATTCAAGAAGTTATATGCAAGCTTATAAAGGTAAAGGGACCCCTGACATTAGGTCCAGTCGTGACGACTCTGGGGTTGCGGCACTTATCTCGCTTTATTGGCCGAGGGAGCCGGCATACAGCTTCCGGGTCATGTGGCCAGCATGACTAAGCCGCTTCTGGTGAACCAGAGCAGGGCACAGAAATGCCGTTTACCTTCCCGACGGAGCAGTACCTACTTATCTACTTGCACTTTGACGTGCTTTTGAACTGCTAGGTTGGCAGGAGCAGGGACTGAGCAACGGAAGCTCACCCCATCATGGGGATTCGAACTGCCGACCTTCTGATCGGCAAGTCCTAGGCTCTGTGGTTTAACCCACAGCGCCACCCGCATCCCTTCTGCAAGCTTATAAGAGAGGTTAAAAGCTCATTTTGCTTCATGTTTTCCTGGCGTGGAAAGGGCTTTTAAGCTCTTTGCCTTTCTTAGGAGAAAAGACCTACTCGGCATGTGAGTTCAGGGATGCTCTTGCGAGATCTCAGACTGTGTGAGTTCCCATGGGAACTGCTGGCACCAGGTGTCTTGTTGTACCAGGTATTCCCAGCACAGAAAGAGCTTTTAAGCTGCCTGCCTTGCTTGCCTCTTATTGTGCCGGCTCCAGAAGGCAAGGGGTGCTTACGTGGTGGTGGTTCCAAGGGGGCAGTTTGAGTATGCACATTTTTCTGTATACATATATTCTGTATATATGTATTTTCTGTATATTTCTATATGCCCCCTTGGAACCAAACCTCCACATAAGATGCACTCATACTGTAGTGCAGTGTTTCCCAACCGGTGTTCCGCGGCACCACGAGTGTGCCGCGAGACATCGGCTGGTGTGCCGCGAGATGCCTGGAGGGAGGCGGGCGAGTCGGCGCGGCGAGAGGCGGGGCGGCGGCGGCGAGGAGAGGCCGCGCCTCCTGCTGCTGCCTGGCGCTCCTCCTCGCAGCCGGCAGCGCTGCCTGGGCGCCTCCGCGCGACTCTGCCTCGCTGGGTTTGGTCTCCCAGCAGAGACGGGTCACACGCGCACCTCCCTCCCTCCCTCAGCCTGCGCGGAGGAAGAGCCAGAGAGAGGCATCGCTCCTGCGCGGCGGGAGAGGGAGCAGCCGGAGCGATGCCCCTTGAAATCTTCGCCCTGCCTTCTTCTGGAGCGACGGAGAGCCTCTTTAAAACTCGTCCGTCCGCTTCTCTCCCTGCCAAGAGGCGTCCAGCAAGCCGGCTTTGCCAGCGGAGCCAGCCTTGGAACAGACCCATCCGTCAAGCGGGGATTGTGCGTCCTCCTGGACAGAGTGTAAGCAACCGGGTTTAATTTGGGTTACGCGGAACTCCAGCGCTCAGGGCGGGAGTTTAGGAAATCCAATCGGGTGGCGCCGCTCTTCCTTGGGACCCCATGGGGAAACACTGGGGACCTACTTCTAAGCAAACGGGTCTACACGTCTCTCTGCCCCCCCCCTTTAACCTTTAGCTTCAAAGCCAGAGCAAACCGAGGCTAAATCCGTATTTACATAGGATAGCTTTCGTGCGTCCCTCCCGGCGTGACACTGCGCGCTGACGTCACGGGGTGGGGCTTTAATGGTGGTGTGCCGCGAGATTTTTTTCAGTAAACAGGTGTGCCGTTGCCCAAAAAAGTTTGGGAAACACTGGTCTAAACCACAGAGCCTAGGGCTTGCCGATCAGGTGGTCGGCAGTTCAAATCCCTGCGACGGGGTGAGCTCCCATTGCTTGGTCCCTGCTCCTGCCAACCTAGCAGTTCAAAAGCACACCAGTGCAAGTAGACCCTTGGGGTCCCTTCCAATTCTATGATTTGCTCTAAACTATCCCAGTCACAACCAGTTAGAGATTTAAAGGATTGCCTTCTCCCGCAACCAGTTAGAGATTTAAAGGATTGCCTTCTCCCGCACAATACCCTGACTCCTTCCAGTCTAAATTGCTAGCACATTTGTAAAGCTAAGCAGGGCCTGGTAAAGTTTCAAACTGGATGGGGAACTGCTGAGATTCCTGTGTAGCAGGGGGTTGGACTAGATGACCCTCAAGGTCCCTTCCAACTCTATGATTCTATGACTGGTCAAGATCCTTGGAGAAGACCCTGTTCTCTATCCCACCAGCTGCATATGGAGCAGCTTTTTCAGAGGCAGCATCCACACTGTGGAACCACAAGGCAGCTACACCGCAATGCTTTCCCTCCTTTCAACACTTGTGAAAACTTTTGTTTTGTTTTTGCTATGTCTTTAGTATTGGTTACTTTTCACACCCCAACCTGAGCTGTATGTTATTTAAGCGGCCAGGTCTGCAATCTGTGTTTTCTCTGCTGTTCCCGTGTTTAACTGTGGCAGGCTGGGCTGCTTTATTTGGGTTTGTTTGTAATATGCTGCTGCTTCCCGGGGGGGGGGGGGGGGAGTAAAGTACATAAAAACTTCTTAGCCATTTAAAAAAATAACACTGTTATTATCCTATGGTGGAAGCTTCAAAATGGCCATGCTATCTTGTGATAACTGCAGACATTGCATGACTAAATGCAGTTGGCTGTTGATGGACAAATGGAAAATTTAGACAAGAGCTACCATTATTGTTACAGATTTGGCTCAGGCATGGGTCTCGTAGGAAGGACCCCAAGACAAAGAGTGTCTTATGTAGTGAAGCTGTTCCATGGCTTGTGCACTTTTGTATCACTGGTTTCCAATAGAAAGCACCACTCTGCAGCCTGCCCTGGAAGGCAACAAACTCCCCTTCAGCAGATTATTTTAAGCAGAGGCCAGATAGTCACCTAGCAGCTGTGGTGGCGCTGTGGTCTAAACCACTGAGCCTCTTGGGCTTGCCGATCGGAAGGTCAGCGGTTTGAATCCCCGCAAGCTCCCGTTGCTCGGTCCCAGCTCCTGCCAACCTAGCAGTTCAAAAGCACACCAGTGCAAGTACATAAATAGGTACTGCTGCAGCAGGAAGGTAAGTGGTGTTTCCGTGCACTCTGGTTTCCGTCACGGTTGCGCCAGAAGCGGTTTAGTCATGCTGGCCACATGACCCGGAAAGTTGTCTGTGGACAAACGCCGGCTCCCTCGACCTGAAAGTGAGGTGAGTGCCGCACCCCATAATTGCCTTTCACTGTACTTAACTGTCCAGGGGCCCTTTACCTTTTCTTATCTTCAGCCGGTTGAATTATATGCCATTGCAGGTCTCTTCTCCCATTCGATGTCAGGAGAAGGCTAGGCTAGAACCATCTTCCAAACATCTACCTTGTTTAGAATATGGGCCAGATGTCCGTTATAAAACAACCCTTCCAGGTCAGGAACAATTTTACCATGCAATGAGCTGTGAGTGCAATCCAAGCCTGAGATACAGCTACCCTGCAGATCCCAGAAACTTTTGTGCACTCCGGTAAAATGGTGGGTTTTTATCTATGGGTAATCATAGTCTGCATGATTGCACTTGAATATTTGACCAAACTGGATTTATATTTTAGTCTTATGTGTGGTTCGGATTTAGTGTTAACATTACTGCACTGATGGCCTCGTTGCTTGTGCCCTTTATTTTACAGGAGGATTTTGACGCTTAAAGGCAGCTGATAAATAAACACACAGACATGAGTTTTTCTGCAGCAAAACTATTCAGCGGCATGGATTTATACAAGGAATATTAACTCTCCTCTCTCTTTCTCTGCAGGAATCTTGCAGTTCGTTGAAATCACACTTAACATTTTGGTGCTGGTTTGCATAGGAGCAGCTCAGGCATCCATTTCCGGCTTCACCTCCATGGGAGGCCTGGGCTCCTTCAACATCAATTCCGCCTACAGCCCCTTTGAAGGGGTAGAGTTGCAAGAGGTGAGGGACCTGGACATGCAGTTCAACCAGATGAGAGCTCCTTGCGTCTACGGCGGCGTGGCCTTCAGCCTAACGCTGCTGTGCCTTACCATCCTCTTCCTCGTCGCCGGAGGGAAGCCCATCCATCGCCTCTCGGTCCGGTTGCTCGTCACGGAATGCGTCTTTGACGTCCTCGCTTGCCTGGCGTACATAGTGGCCGTGGGCCTCTACCTCCACTTTGTCCTGCAAGTCAACGCGACGGAGGTGTGCAAGAAAAGAGAGAGGCTTTACGCCAGGCGAGGCTACACATCCATGAACTGCAGCGTGCAAGGCGGAGATGCTTCCGTGGCCCTTTTTGGCCTCCTGGTGGCTTGCCTGTATTTCGCAAGCACTGTGGTCTGTTTCCTCACCATTCGGAGCGTACGGGAGTTCCAGAGGCAGGCGGCGAAGGTGCAGTACAGCCTTGAAAGGACCTACAGCGAGGGAGACCAGCACAAGGCCTACAAGAGGCCAGAAAGCATCGACGGGGCTAGGACCTTTGCCACCCTGGTGTAGCCAACGCTAGGATGACACTGTGAAAAAACACATTGGGAATGGATTGTTTTCCTGCTGCTGAAAGTTAGCCATCAATCGGAGTTGCCGAACTGCATTTTTTAAGTCGAGCAGCATTATATATTTTGTGTGTGAAAAAGGAAATGTTTGTGCAAGTAATTCTAGATTTCCTTACTGTGTTGATGGGCTTGCTTTTAAACGGACTAATTGCATCTCTGCTGTGACTTGGTCTAATAAGGACTGCTTCTACTAGGCTCAGTGATGCTACCACTGGTTTCCTGAGACAGGCTTCAGGACAGCACCTGCAGTGATAGGAGAAACAGGGCTTCTTCCGACAAGAGGTTGGAAATGGATCACTTAAGGAAATGGGGTTGAAGGAAGGCAGGTAAGCAGCAAGGGGCTACCAGGGGCTACAAAGCACACTGGCCAAGAGAGAAGGAAAAATGGAGGGCTCCAATGCAAGAGTCTAAATGACATTGCTTTGACTATTGTGGGCTTTCAGGTCCACTCATCAGAATCCCAATGCACTCTGGCTATAGGCTCATTCCTCTGTCCCCAATCGTAGCCAGTCTGGCCTAAGAAATGTCACAAGGAGGGGGAAATACTGCTTTGGGAGTTATTGCTCATTGGTATACTACTGGCTCACAAGTTTAATTAATGGGCTTTCGCCTCCCTTCCCAAGATTTGCCCTTTATATATAAAAAAGCAGCATTTGGTTAGTAGCCATCTCAAGATCCCGTAGCAATGGATTCCTTGAGGAGAAAGACATTGCTTTCCTTTTGGGATTGAAATTCATTGCCAACAGCACACTTTTTGCCCCCACCCTCACTGCTTGCTGTGGCTCCGATTTTCCCCATCTGCCATGCTTTTTTTCAACCTGTGTTCATGGGTTTCTTATTGTTCCCTGTTGCGATTTTGAAATCTTTTAATACTATGGGTTTTTTGCCAAGTTGTTTTAGCTCTGCCCATTACTATTTGTGCGTTGTTTTTGATTGCTGCTTCTTAATGCATTGCCTGCTCATTGGCTGTTTTTACATTTCTATCAAGATTTTTTTTGGTGTCTTGGCCAAAAAAAAAAAGGATTAAATGGCGTTTGCAATAAATAAATGTACAGAAGTAAACATGCACATTTTTCTCCCTTCCCAATAAGGATGCAAACCTGTAACTAGAGAAAGGACAGGGAATCATTAAAACGGCTCGCAGAACATAGGATTTACCCATTGAGCTCAGTATTGTTGGACTATTTAGCAGTGGCTCCTCAGGAGATGAAGACCCCGGGTGTCTTTCCCAGCCCAAGCTGGGAGGTGCTGTGGAGTAAATAAAAAAACCTCTTGCATGTTCTTTGCCACTGAGCTAAAATCCTCCTGCATGTATAGAATTGTTCTATGCATGAGGACCATTCATAGCTCAGCATGGAAGCAGTGCCTTGCAATTTGCATTCATTTCACCCTCTCCTGGACTAGATTATGCAGCAGCAGTGCCAGGCTCTGTGCTCCAGAAGGCTGACCTTTTCTGATTTTTGTTATTAAGGAAGCAGAGCCTGCCTGTGGCATATGATTTTGGGAGAGACAGGCACCGTCTGCTTGAGGGCAGCGTGCATTTTAACTGGATGGCACACACAGAAGATTTCTGAATCTTAAAAAAACCGTAAAAGATTCAAGGAATCACAGGTAAGCAAGGGCAGACAGCTGGAAACACAATTGCTCCTGACAGCCGTGACGAACATCCCTCATTAGTCAAACACTACTAGAGCATCAGTGCCTGGGAACGAGACAACCTTATCAATCTATTAAACCATCTAATTCTTACACAACTACACACACACACACACACACACACACACACACTGCCAGGCATAAATAAAACACCAACCACTATGCAAGGTCATCCCATTGTTGGCCTGCTTGAAGTAATAGGTTATGCCAAGGGAACAGTTACAATGAACTAGGCAAAAGATGAACCTCATTATCACATTTCACAGAAGATGCTGTTGACACTTAGCTGACACTAAGACCATACACAGACAATGGTTTTGTGGAGCAACTGTGGCAGTAGCTCCCATCACTGCCTTTGGCCCAATCCACCTGCCCTGGCTGGACTTTCATAAGGTGAAAATAGGAGGGAAGGGATTTGCTTTTCAGTTTCAGGAGCTGGTAAGTCAAAAGCTGATAGCAGCAGAAACACTCTTTAGGAGAAAAGCAAACAAACTGGTTTTAACAAGGAAAAATACTGAAAAGGTGAGAGTGTTGTTCAGCCCATTCTCTTTTTGCTGTTATTAAAAAGACATGCATATTATCTATTATCTATCATCTATCTACCTACCTACCTACTGTATTCATCCTTCACCTTATAGAAATAGGAAATAAAGTTAGGAAGTGCTCTGGGGCTGCTAAGGAAGGGGGAAGAGGCACTAGCCAATACAGGCCTGATGCTCGAACTCAGGATGAAAGGAATAAAGGTGCTAAGAGGAAGGCACGTTTGGCAAATCCACACCGTGATCAACTCCCGTCCGCAAACCTATGACCCCACTGTGGAAGGATGTGTGGATCCAGAATTGGCCTCCACAGTCACTCCACAGACTCACTGTTAAGACCGTGTTCATGGAAGACAAGCTTACTCAGCTACGAGTGATCGCCGAAGAAACAGCAGCAGCTCCACAGATACATGCCAATTTGTGTTTCACCTCCTTTCCTAGTGAGGAATCTGCTTCTGAGTATGTAAAAAAAAAAACAAAAAACAGCTGCAGGGCAGAAAAATATGCACGTATTGTGAGTGAGAAGATTACAATACCTTATCCATTGCTACTTAAACTAATTTACAAAATTTCTTGTAAACCTGCATTGCAGGGGGGTGGACTAGAACAGTGTTGGTGAACCTATGCCACGCGGGCCAGAGCAGGCACCCAGAGCCCTCTTAGTTGGCATGCGCGCCACCGACCCAGCAGGCAAAGTTTCTTTCCACTCCTCCCCCCCCCCACGCCAGTGTGGGCAGGAAACACTCCAGAGAGACTCTCTGCTTGTTGCTTCATCATTGGGAGTCCCGCACTGCCCCACACCGCTATTAGCAGGAAACCTTCCCTATAGTGCTCGCCACCCGAAGTGGTGTTGCGGGGAGTTGCGCATCCGCCAACCAGCTGTTGGTCTGCTGCTGGTGATGCAAGCGACTTTCAGCATTCTTGATTAGTGATTTTCTACACACACACACACCAGGCAATTCCCCCCCCCCCCAGCTCATCAGCTTTGGGCAGTCCTCCCCCAAAAAGCTCAACAACTCTGATATACACGTAAAAAATACGGTAAATTGCCATGTTGGCACTTTGCGATAAATAAGTGGGTTTTGGGTTGCAGTTTGGGCACTTAGTCTCTAAAAGGTTCGCCACTACTGGACTAGATGATCCCCAGGGTTCCTTTCTAACTTTATGATTCTATACTTCAACCTTCAGATTTTATTGTATTTTAATCCTATAATTTATGTCAACCACTTAGGAATTCTGGCCAAAAATGTAAAGCAGCCTATACATCTCAAAAGTACCGTATTTTTTGCTCCATAAGGCGCACCCGACCATAAGACGCACCTAGTTTTTAGAGGAGGAAAAGGAAGGGGGGGAAATCTGAAACAAATCTTGTTGAAGAGGCTTTGCACGGCTATCCCTGAAGCCAGAACAGCAAGAGGGATTGCTGCGCAGCTGTTCTGGCTTCAGCGTTAGCTGCGCAGCCTGCATTTGCTCCATAAGACGCACACACATTTCCCCTTACTTTTTAGGAGGGAAAAAGTGCATCTTATAGAGCGAAAAATATGGTAAATGAAAAGCCACTACACAACAACATGTAAACACACCCTCCAAAAAAGGAGAACCAACTGTAACCAGTTAGACCGACGAACTTCAGCATGTAGAAGATAAAGTCCTGAGGGCATCACTATTTGACACCTGCCTATTCAATGTGTATGAAAATGTAGTTATTAAGCCTTCGCGACAAACCCGACACAAAAGCAAGTGGAAAGTGGCAAAAACCTCTGGCGCTTAGGCCAAATTAATGATCTGAAAACACTGGCAAAGGCCCAAGTCTCGACAACGTTTCTCATTAGTGCTGCTGCAATGATATTAGTTCCCGTAGTCGTAGGAAAGCTAAATTCTAGGAAGATTTATTTGGCTGTTGCTGGGAGTGATAAATCATGTCAAGTGATGGAAATGACTTCATTACAAACGAAGGGCTGGTGGGTTTTTAGTATGTCACATTTTTTGAGTGCGCAGGCAGGGTGCTTATGATCAATCACCCACTAAGGAATACATTTAAGAAGAATTTGCTTTAGCAAATGCAACGAGTCCTCTTCCTTGTAAACAAACGAAATGGATTCAAGCACTTCGGTTTACGGCTGAGCGTGCAAGTTGAGGGTCTCCACCACCTGCTTGCTTCTCTGGGCTTTTAACAGCTTGTTCCAGCTCAGCAATGCACCTCCACCCACCTACCAATGACTTCTGAAACCCGAATGCATACGATGACGATTTAAAATACTTGTACAGCATGGGTGAAATGCTCTTCAGCTGCAGCCCAAGGCTTCATTTTCACTGGTTCATTTTCATCTGAAGGGAAATATAATGGCAGGCTTTTTCGAAGGTTCCCAGTACAAGCAGAAGCAGGAAGCTGCTTTTCAAAGTTCATTTCTGAATCTCAAGTTGGGCCTCCATAGTTTGTGATACAGTGAGGTAGACACAGTGCGTTCAGACATGGCATTTCTTGCTGATTATAATGGCACCACTCTTGTCCAAATTTTTCATACTGTTGTTAGGGGGCTACCGTTCTTTTGAGTGATCCACTGGTACGTCGCATCAAATTTCCTTCATGCCTATGGGCACACCCAACAAATGTCAATGGACATGGCTTTCTTCCCACATGCTTTCTGCGCATGTGCAGTTCTGCTCCCTCCATGATCCACGCATTGAAAAGGGCAGGATGCCACAGATTTCATCATTTTAATCTTACAATCAGATTTTTTCCTTCCTGGAAGTAATTAACAAGGAAAGTAAGCGGGGAACTTCCATCACAGTCCACTAGATTTGCAGAAACCACTTCTATGCCATGCGAACGATCAAATAAAACGAGGAAATTATCAGGTAAGGGAACATCGAGAAAAGAAAATAATCCACTGTCTGAATGTAGCCGCTGGAAACAAAATCGGATGATTGACTGAACTGTTGTGCTTAGGCTGCCATGTAGAACCAGGGCATTTCCCCCCAGCCAGAACTTTCAGTTCTCTCAGGTGAGCGCCATTGCCATTCTAAGAGAATGAATGAAGGAGGTGTTCGTGGTGAGTTCCAGCGCCTCTTTTTCTGGAAAAATAACACTGGGTATACAAGAGGCAGAGGCCCAATAAACCCAAGAGCAGCTTGCCTCAATTAGTACTGCAAGCAGCTGCAGTGGGAGGGAGGATGAAATGGGCAGAAACGGGCTCCAGAGTGAGTTGCAACTACAGACATCTCAGGAATCCTTCGCGGTGACTGTATGGTTGTCTACGAAGAACAAGCAAGACAGAACAGTGATCCTCGTTGCAAAAAGAAAAGAAGATTAAAAGCAAACTCTCCTAGTGGATATAAAAGCATTTCCTGGCATACGTTACGCACACACTGTTGTACGAACTCCAGTTTCCACTGCCGAGTCTGTAGGGCTTTCACCCGTCATTTGGGCACCATCCTAATTTTTGAAAAAACTCTTCCAGTCACTCACAACATTTTGTTCTCTCTGCAATATGCACACATTGCTTCAGTGTCTCTCACATCCTGCACATAATACCTTGGAAGCAAAACTTATATCAACGATGTGGAATTTCCCCACCACCACCACAAAATAATAATAATAATAAAATTCAACACTGGGATCGAGTTTTACAGAGGACAATGCCATGCCAGATTATATCTATTTAATGCCATAAGGAATTCTGAGAACCCAACTCCTCCGGCTTCAAACAGCAAGCATATACTGCAGACTTCAAGTATTTGTAAATTTTCGTATTTATTATAACAAAAATTATGACATGTTCATTTGTGCATTCTTCTTTTAATATAACTCTTGGTATGTAAATGATCTACAGTAAATGAACTCTATACAATCATGCTGGTTGTGGCAGCAGGGAGGAACACACACAAAAATGTGCCTGCGAAAGAGTTAATGGTGAAGAAGAAGACCAAAAAAAATAATAATTAAGTAACTCAGGTGTTTGTGGCCCAACATCCACCTAATTCCTACACTCCTGCTAAATTTATTATGGAGTCGTAGCCCAAAGAACCAATCACTTAGGGGCAATTCCACACATGAGCAAACATACTGTTGGTGACTTTGGCTCAGCCAGCCAATGGTGGCCATAGACACGATGGGCCAACGCTCTCCAAACCAGCTAACGCTGCTGGGAGACCCTCAGAGCTCCTACGATCTCCCTGCTCTCCAAGCTTGGTTGTATCGCATGTCGGCGGAGGGAGCTTTTGACATACATGCGAAAGCACCCCGTGGGGTTGGGAATTCGGGATGGGGAAGACAAACTATCAGTTCGTCAGGTTGCGTCCTCCTGCCGAGACTACAAAAAACGTTTGAAGCATCACTATACAACACTGAGTTATTTACAGGAATTTCCCAATCAGCTGTTCTCTCAGAGAAAATTAGTGAATCTCAGTGACTTAAAGTCACCTGAAAGAGTAAAAGCAACTCCTAGGAGTTAGTCTCCATAATTCTACAAATGTCTATCCATTTTCAAGACCAAAAAAGCCTTTTTTTTCTCTCAAAGAAATACAGTATTACAATATTACTTAATCATTTAGCACTGGCAATACTGCCCTGTGTTTTCCAAACAAACCAAGGGAGGGGGGGAAAGAACGATTTTAAAAAATATTACATCAACATCATTCTCAGTTTTCTCTGCAATATATTAAACCTTTTATTCTTATTTTTCTTTGCTTTTTTTTTTTACATCTGATATGTTAAGGAAGGGGAAGAGTTAAACTAGTTCAATTCTAACTGGTGAAGCATCACTAGAAGAGAGGGGGAAGGGAGGGAATAATCTGTGATTATTACAGCTAACAAACAAGAAGCAGCAGCTGCAGTTCTCAGTAGAGGGGGAAGTGTCTGGAAGAGAAATTGGAACCAAAAAAAACCCCCCTCTCTCTTTCTCTCCCCTCCCTACCCTGCTAGTGTAATACAAACCTAACGAGCCTCCAAGCTCTCAGTGTCTGGTCAGCTTATTTTGTCAAGCTCGGTCATAGCGGCGTGTCGTAATAATCTGGCAGCTGGTCCATCTGGTATTGCCGCTGTTGTTGCTGTTGTTGTTGTTGTTGCTGCTGCTGCTGCTGCTGTTGTTGTTGTTCGTGGTGTTGCTTCATTATCTCCTTGACCTCCTCTTCGAGCTCCGGCGGGATAATAAACTGATCGTCGGGATCTGGCTGAGCCGGGGCTGCAAAGTACCCCCCAGTTTTCCTCAGCGGCGCGTCGGCCGCCACTTCGATGAGGTTGTGGCTCCTCTCCTGAGGGGCTACGGAGCCATTGCCTCGCCGGCGCCCGATGGTCCCCGTGGCCAAAGGGTCGGCCTTGCGGAGGAGGCAGGTCTCGTCTTCGTTGGCGCTGATGACGATGCCCTCGTCGCTGGCCTCCACGGGGGCCTGCAGCAGCAGGAGCTTCTCCTTGGCGCGACCGCAGTGGATGTCCACCTCCACTTCCACCCGGCTGCCGTTGGAGAAGACGCCTTCGATGGGCTCCTCGTCGTCGCTGTCGAGCCCGTTGTCCGAAAAGGCGCTGGAGAAGGTGGCGCTGGAGAGCTGCCTCTGGAAAGAGTTGGAGAGGCAGACTGGGTGGAGCATGCAGCGCTGCTCGCTGGGGTAGGCTGGGCTGTTCTCGTTCATGGTTACCTGAGGGGGCTCGTCGGAGGCCGTGGACCCCACCTCGCTGCTCATTTCGGAGGTCGAGATCTCACTGCTGATCTCGGAGGCCATGCCGCTGCTGGAGGAGGGCATCCCCAGGGCGTCCGAAGGCTTGTCTTTGATGACCACGTTGACCGACTGGGGGAAGATGCCCGGGCTGGGAGGGGGGGCGCCGTTGAGCTCGCAGCAGCAGAAGCTGTCCTCGGTGACGTTGAGCTGGACCACCACAGCGCTGAGGCTGTCGTTGCAGCCGTAGCTCTGGGCCAACGTGCAGAGCTTCTTGGCGGCTCCCAGAGCGTCGGGGACGTTCCTGACGGCTTCCACGGCTTCTTCGACGGAAAGGCTGTCCCAGAGGCCTTTGCTGCCCAGAATGAAGAATTCGTCCTGAGGAGTCAACGTGATGGACTGCACGTGAGGGCGAGGAACCACGCTCGGGTGAAGGAAGGTGTACCCCAAGATCCTCGTCGAGTCCGTCACGCCATTCACTTTGCCGTCCTGGAAAGGAGGAGGATACATCTCATTATGGCGAGCGGTTGGATTGTTAACCATACAGGCTGGCTTGGGGTAGGGGAGCCAAGGGGGATTACCAAGTGAGCTTTTGCAAAACCTTCATCCTCCTGCCGAAGGGCATGAGAAAATACATTACTACATCAGCAAGCAATGGAACTGGGTTCAGGATCCTGGAGGTTGGATCCAACTAGGTTCTACTTGAGACTAAACCAACTGAAATTAATGGATCCAGTTGCCCACTAACTTCAGTGTGTTTACTCTGAGCAGGACTAACATTGGCCACAGCTGTCGGTTCCTCCTCTTTCGCTCATCATTTAGGCCCAGTGTGCCAATACTATCGTCTGAGACAAGAGATTAAAAGTTGCTGTCATATTCTGATAGTACAGAACCAAGGAAGGGAACAGGGAGTGTTTGCTTCTACCTGACATGGCCCACTTTCCTGTCGCAGGAGCCTTCATGATGGAGCACCTGCCACAGGGGGGATTTCTGGACTTGAATCCGACACCCACCCCACCCTGGGGACAAACAGCCTACTGTCATCAGTTTTGGGGCTACTTTGCAATAGCAACTGGCCTGCCTCTAAACTTTAGGCTCGCTAAAATTTCTTTGGTATATTTTGAATGAATGGTTAATCGTGGAACTGTCAGCGCGACAGCGATAATGTAATTTTAATTACGCATTCCATTTATGGTGTTGTCTTTAGAGAGCCATTTTCTGTAAACACCTCTGAGCACAAATCTGCAGGAAACTCAGCATATAATAAACCGACTACTCGGCGTCACAAGGGAACAAACATGGCAGCACATGCCTGGGCAGAGACATAGAAAAATGCTTCATCTTTCGGCCAAGGTATGCAAGGATGGTCGGCGGTTATCTGACAGGAGGCCGACAGGACAAATTTGTTTTATCTACGTGGCCTCTAAATAGCGTGGTGGAAAGGACTTCGCTCGCAAACGATAATCTGCTCCAACTCCCTTCGGGGGTTGACATAAAATGTGCGCACACTGTAGTGTATGTGAAAAACTGAGGGGTGGGTTTGGCTATATCTCCTCCTCAACCACATCAAGCCAAAATTATTAATCTTCACGTGGCAAAGTGGGAAACGACACATTTCTATTGAGCCTGCAAGCTGCCATGAGAAGAAGGTGTTGGTGTGTGGAATCCTATTTGTTTTCAGTCGGCTGCCCTGGAGTGGAAATGTTTTCCGCACGCCCCAGTTCCTTAACTACATTTCCTCTTTAGATACGACATTTCCCAAAGGGAGGTGGATTAACATCTGAGGGGAGGGGTGTGTGGAGACGCTGTTAAAAATACAAGTCTTGGAGAAATCAATGCCATGTATGCATTTAAATCCCAAGCTACTGGCTGGCTTATGATCCAAGCAAGTGGAGATAAGAGGAGTTTATTAGCCCACGGGTACTGGTTTGTTTGCTGGTGTGAGCAGACAAAAAAATGAGGAGAAAGCACAAGGGGGAGAGGTAGAAACGGAGGAAGTCTCTTAAAATTAAGTAGGACCTTGTATACCCTATGAGCTTTAAACGCTATTAATAGTATCACCAAGAATGTGATATACAAACAGTGGGAAGATGCAAAGTCTTGTAAGCAAAATGCTACGTCACACATTGCTGGATGCAGAGTTAAGTAGAAATAGCGTATTTTTGCTTGAGAGGCTTGCATCCAGTGTGTGCCTCCTCTACCTCCTCAACTAATCCAGAATGCAGCAGCCAGACTGATAACTGGGAGTGGCTGCCGAGACCATATAACACTGGCCTTGAAACACCTACATTGGCTCCCCGTATGTTTCTGGGCACAATTCAAAGTGTTGGTGCTGACCTTTAAAGCCCTAAACGGCCTTGGCCCAGTATGCCCGAAGGAGCATCTCCACCCCAATCGTTCAGCCTGGACACTGAGGTCCAGCTCCGAGGGCCTTCTGGCGGTTTTGTCCCTGCGAGAAGTGAGGTTGCAGGGAACGAGGCAGAGGGTCTTCTTGGTAGTGGAATGCCCTCCCACCAGATGTCAAGGAAATAAACAACTACCTGACTTTTAGAAGACATCTGAGGGCAGCCCTGTTTAGGGAAGATTTCAGTGTTTGATGTTTTATTGTGTTTTTAATATTCTGTTGGGAGCCGCCCAGAGTGGCTGGGGAAACCCAGCCAGATGGGCGAAGTATGTATGTATAAATCATCATTATTATTATTATTGCTACTACCACCAAGCTCACCCTCACCCTGCTTGGGAAATGCTTTGTATGCTAAGTAAGGGCAGCACTTCCTCTTTAAGGAAGACAGGCTGCCATGAACCTCTTCATATTTTAAGCTACTGCTTCGGTGCCATTACCTCCCTTTCAGCTGGAAATTTGTGCAAAAAAACCAGAAAGGAATCCCTTCCGGAGCATTCTGGCACAGCTTTGGAAACGGGAGCAACCTATATGCTCATGCTCAACATGAGACTCTGAATCTCAGGGCTGTGGGTTCGAGTTCTATGTTGGGCAAAAAAGCTTCATGCATTGCAGGGCGTTGGAGTGGGGGGGCCCTTGTGATTCCTCCCCTCCCAACATCTATGATTCTCTGATTCTATAGGTCCTCCCCCCCCCCCCCGCACTCCAGTTTAGCAACTCGATTCCTTACTTCTGTGATGATGGCCTTGTGCTGCTTGATCCTCCTCAACTCTTCTTCGCAGTTCATCATGTAAGACCTGGATAAAGGCAGAGGTTTTCCGTTCCGGCAGAGAACAGATTGGCACTTCCCCACATTGGCAGAGGTTAAGGTGAAGCATCCGCCTGGGTCTATCGGGTCATGCTTGATATGGCAAAGGACAGCAGAGCCTCCAAGCTTCTGCCCAGCCGTTCCAAGTTTCCTAAGGGTTCCAAGGAAGACAACGTTGACAAAACAAGTGGAGTCAGGTTCAACGCAAGCATCTGTTCTTGTGCTTCGGCAGAGAAAGATAGGAACCCCCCCGTCCAAAACAATGCCAGCCGTGCCACACAGCCCATGAAGCAGTCAGGTCCTATGCCGCCATAATAATAATAATAATAATAATAATAATAATAATAATAATAATAATTTTTATTTATACCCTGCCCTCCCCAGCCAAGGCCAGTCTCAGGGCGGCTAACAAGCAATAATAAAAACACGTTGAATTAATACTACTTAAAAACAAAATTAAAATACAATATTAAAATGTAGCCTCATCGCAGGAGGAGAAAGGGAAATAAAAAAGAAAGAGGGGGAGGGAATCAAATTGGCTCCAAGCCAAAGGCCAGGCGGAACAACTCTGTCTTACAGGCCCTGCGGAAAGAAATCAGATCCTGCAGGGCCCTGGTCTCATGAGGCAGAGCGTTCCACCAGGCCGGAGCCAGAGTTGAAAAGGCCCTGGCTCTGGTTGAAGCTAATCTAACTTCCTTAGGGCCCGGGACCACTAGGGTGTTGCTATTTATGGACCTTGAGGCTCTCCGTGGGGCATACCGGGAGAGGCGGTCCCGTAGGTACGAGGGTCCTAGGCCGTGACATAAATGGGAAGAGGATAAAAATAATAGAATAATATAGTAATAGAACCGCCGCCAGAATTTCATGTGAAATTTGGGGCGACCACTTTTAACGAACCAGAGAAGCAAATTTGCAAGTCGGAAAAAAGCATTTTGGTAAGTCTAGAATGAGTTTGGGGTGGTGGTGGGAAGCCCTGCACGTCTATTAAGTTAGGGGTAGGCAACCTCAGGCCATTATGGACAAGCACGATCACCTGGCATCAGGTGTGGGCAGGTAAAAAGGAGGCTGGGCTAAAAGGGGCTTCTGACGTGCCCTACAATCAGTTGACCATTGGGATTTCAAATCACAAAACAAGGCTCTTTGCACGGGGCTTCGAAGCGCGTATGATCAGCTGATTGTCATGGCTTCAAAGTGCAGTGTGAGATCAGATGACTGACAGGTGAGCAGCCACACACACCTGTCAGGTTTGGCCCAGATCCAGTCCCCCACTGCTGTATTGTGGGGAGGGGGAGCTCAGAAAGGGAGTATTATTTTCCAGTTATTCTAGTTCTTTCAAAGCAACTGGAGGCAATAAACTTTCTTTAGAGAGAGAGTAGGAAAAAAATAAGTCTTGCTGCATGGAACTAAAGAGTTGACACATGAATTTGTGAGTTGGCCCAGACAATGATTTAAGTTTCATATTAATGGCAACTCTTAAAATTTGGTCTTTTCAAGTTGTCTCAGGATTGCCAAGCCTACATTAAATCTATACAAAAGCATTTCTTTCTTTTTCTTCCCAAAAGCCACTTTGGGCTTCAATTTAAACAATTTATCTTTGATGAATCAGTCTGGGCTAATAACTCAGATGGGCTGCAATGCAGTTAGGCAATTGTAAATAAAGTAATTCATGTTTGATCCTTTCTGAAGTTTTATATTGCGGGGGGCGGGGGGGATACAGGAAGAAGCAAATGGCATTTATCTTTATAACGTCTTTAAAGTCCTTAGGATTAGGCTCTGGGAAATTTAATGGAGAAAGCAGGCTGGGACAAACAGCAATGGAGCAAAACTGCTGCTGACCCATTTCTGTCTCTGCTCAGCAATAGAAGAAGAAGAGGAGGAGTTTGGATTTGATATCCCGCTTTATCACTCCCCGAAGGAGTCTCAAAGCGGCTAACATTCTCCTTTCCCTTCCTCCCCCACAACAAACACTCTGTGAGGTGAGTGGGGCTGAGAGACTTCAGAGAAGTGTGACTGGCCCAAGGTCACCCAGCAGCTGCATGTGGAGGAGCGGAGACACGAACCCGGTTCACCAGATTACGAGTCCACTGCTCTTAACCACTACACCACACTGGCTCTACAGAAAGTACAGAAGCAGTAGCAAGGTAATTCCACTTGGTGGGGGAAATGGTTACCTGCTTCTGCTCTGTGGTATCTGTGGGTATTTGGCACTGGCAGATTAAAATGAGAGGCTCACATCCATAGCAGTGCTAAGTAACTGTCCCATCAGAGCAAGGAATTTGACTTGTGCAATGGGGACGACCTCCTCTCCTCCTGTCCCCGTCCCCTAAATCTCTTCTAGGGGACCTCTGAAGGGGAGGGCACAGGGTGAAGAGAGGGACCAGCCCCATGGCTCACGTGGAAATATTTCCACTGATGGGGCGGCTACGTTAAACACAAGCCGGTGTGTTATTTTTATCCTCCTCCCATTTATGTCACTAGGTAAAGGTAAAGGGACCCCTGACCATTAGGTCCAGTCGCGACCGACTCTGGGGTTGCGGCGCTCATCTCACTTTATTGGCCGAGGGAGCCAGTGTACAGCTTCCGGGTCATGTGGCCAGCATGACTAAGCCGCTTCTGGCAAACCAGAGCAGCGCACAGAAACACCGTTTACCTTCCCGCTGGAGCGGTACCTATTTATCTACTTGCACTTTGATGTGCTTTCGAACTGCTAGGTTGGCAGGAGCAGGGACTGAGCAACGGGAGCTCACCCCAACGCGGGGTTTCGAACCACCAACCTTCTGATCAGCAAGTCCTAGGCTCTGTGGTTTAACCCACAGGGCCACCCGCGTCCCTATTTATGTCACTACTCTGCAACTAAAGTGAAGGTGGTCTCAGAACCTGGGGTAGCTCTGCTAAGAAAGGAAAAGTCTGGTAACAGCAGCCAAATCTCTTTGAAAAGACACCATCACTGCTGGTCTTTCCCAGAATATGTAACCACTAGGGGCTGCTGCTGGGTGTTTTCCCAGATTGCATCTGCAGTCTGCGTAAGGCTATGGTGATAGATTTTTTCAGTGGCACTGCATGAGGAATTGCCAAGTCTCGAATCAGCCCCGTGGAGGTGACCAGAAAAAGTAAACAAACTTATTCAAAGGGTTTTGGGATGGCTGGGCTTGTCCAGTGTCACGAGGCAGGCGCCTGCAAGCTTTGAGCCACAAAACTGACCTCTGCATTACGATGAAAGTGTTGATCATGTACTCCTCTTCGCTCTTTGTTTTTTGCAGCTCCTCGGCCAAGATGTCGCTCATGGTACACTGCAAGAGGTAAGGCACTTCCACGTTGCGGTCCCCGTCAAAGACGCCATAGAGGGCCTCCCGGTTGTCGCAGAAGTTGTTGGCGGAAAGAGCCGCCACGCACAGCCTGTGCAAGAAAACAAAAAGAAAATGGGCTTTAACAAAAAAATTCACTTCCCACGGCAAATTTCCCACGTAACATTTCCAAGGCCGGGTCATCAAACTCTTCAACCCCCACCCCTTTTGTGGATTATAAAAACAAATTCATTCAATACACAGGTCTATTGAGACTCTCGTAGGGTGTGTTGAACTTCCAAATTCCAAAAATGAGGGTTGCTACAATCTGCCGCATGACTTGGGAATCCAAAATATATTTTGGTAAAATGAATGTGCTTGGTAAGTAAAACTAAAAATGATTGCCAAGTACTTGCAGTTATATTATATGTTAATATTATTATTTTGTTTTTTAGCATTGCCTGACATTTTCAGAAGGTAAAATTAAATTTCTTTGGTTTTCCAAATGCTGTTTGTGTGCTTCTTATCAAATGTAGACTTAGCAAGCTAAATGTTCTCCAATCACAAAAGTAATAGATTTTAATTCCTCACACCCAAAAACATATTTTTATGACCCCTCACTAAAGAAATTAGCAAAAAAATATATATAAAAAATAGTTTCATCCCCTAAAATGAGATGCCCTACTCTCACAGTCCACAGTGAAAAGAGGCGGTTAATCTGAAACCAAGGTGGAGAATTTAGGACTTTGTTAATAATATCTGCATTCACCTACATATTATTCTCAGGGAGAACATGCACTCGCAGCGTGGTTCAGTGTTGGACTATGACCAGGGTTCAAATCCCAACTCAGCCATGAAGCTAATGTATACATAATTGTCTGCAAGAAGTTTTATTTTTGTAATTATAAAAGTATTGTTTTGGTGTTGCAGAATATAGATAGCACGTGGACACTGTTGTTAAGTTCTTAATGTGCAGAGCACATTTCTTAACGAGGCTCCCTTTCCACCATTTGTTTCAAACCCAAGACTGGCTTAACCCAAGACTGATTCTATGCCATTACCTTTTCTTTTCTTTTCTATCCAAGTTACTCACAATGCCCGCCAAACAGTTCTTTGGAGAACGAGCAACACTGAGGATGCACAGGTGATACTGAGAGACACAGTTACAGAAATGAGGCCAAACAAGTGGTCAAAGATCAGGGCCGCTACCTGCAGTTTTGACCAGAGAATGGTGGGAAACAAGCTTGTTTGGACCACTGGGCTCTGTCTGCCCTTACTGTACTATTTGGCGTTGAGTGATACTTTGCAAGGCAAGCAACAACAGGCTTTGCCTACGTCTTACTACAGTGAGGATGGTGCACCTGCAAGGCGAAATTAATGCAGTAATCTTTTTATGATGGCCTCAGTGCTGCATGCACCTTGCCACCGTATCAGCTGAGGGACTGCAAACTATCCATGCCGACTTTACTGACGGGCGTGGAACAGTTTTATTTTGTTTCTAGGCGTACGTGGAGGTCAGATCAGCAGCTGCGATGCTACACCAACCAAGATCGACAGCTGCGATGCTACACCAACCAAGATCGACAGAACATTAAGCGAGTCAAAAACAAAGGAGGAGTCCTTGCTTGGGGAGGGCAGTTGGGTGTTTTGAACACAGATAACTGAGCGTCAAGACCTGCTCCCTGACCCCCTCGCACAGGCTGCACCCCTGAGGCAGACGAGACCAGCTTTCCAGCTAATCCTCTGAGCTAAGTGGGATTGACTCTGCCGCAGATGCCTTTACGGATGGGGCGATTAAAGTGCGTGAGAGACTCGCTGCAAGCAGGTCACATCTTTTCTACATATCCACCACACTCTGCTGCTGTAGGTTGGATAAGCTAACTTGGAAGAATATACAAGCAGAAGTACCCTCCGGAGTCAGGCATGCATCATAAAATGTCTTGAACAGAGCAAGGGCTTAAATTTAAAGCAAATATTACAGGTCCAGAGGTAGAGTAAAAGGGTAAAGGACCCCTGGAAGGTGAAGTCCAGTCAAAGACGACTTTGGGGTTGTGGTACTCATCTCGCTTTCAGGTCAAGGGAGCCTGTGTTTGGCCATAGACAGCTTTATGGGTCACGTGGCCAGCAGGACTAAATTGCTTCTGGCACAACAGAACACTGTGATGGTAACCAGAGCGCACAGAAACGCCGTTTACCTTCCCACCGCAGAGGTACCTATTTATCTACTTGCACTGGTGTGCTTTCGAACTGCTAAGTTGGCAGGAGCTGGGACAGAGCAATAGGAGCTCACTCTGTTGCGGGGATTCGAACCACCGACCTTCTGATCGGTAAGAGGCCCAGTGGTTTAGACCACAGTGCCACCCGTGTGGCATGCACTGCATTCCAAAGGCCCTATATTCAATTCGTAGCATCTCTTGCCTGATATCCTGGATAGCTGCTGTCTGTCAGTGCAGACAGAATTGAACTAGGTGCTTCAAGGGCCTAGCTCAATACAAGAAGCTTCCTAGGTCCCAGAGAGGTGGGGATGCTTAGGATCTTGAACTGCGGGTGTGGGATGAATCGGTGGAAAACGTTGGACTGAATAGGGATAGTTGAGAGGGCTGCTTAGATGCAAGACAAGGGTTTGGGAAAAGATGGAGGAGAGGACCTCCTGCGGACAGGACATACCATATTTTTTGCTCTATAAGACTCACATTTTCCCTCCTAAAAAGTAAGGGGAAATGTGTGTGCGTCTTATGGAGTGAATGCAGGCTGCACAGCTATCCCAGAAGCCAGAACAGCTTTCACTGCGCAGAGATCCCTCTTGCTGTTCTGGCTTCTGAGATTCAGAATATTTTTTTTCTTGTTTTCCTCCTCCAAAAACTAGGTGCGTCTTGTGGTCTGGTGCGTCTTATAGAGCGAAAAACACGGTACATTAGCTATCCAAAAATATATACAACATTTTTCTACTTAATTATATAGACTCTTCCATCATATACTGGATCGCTTGCATAGAAGACCCTGTGGAGAGGAAATGCACTTCTCTTTTCCATATAAACTCTCTCTCTCTCTCATTTATCCTTACTTGTTCTTAACTCCCGAGGCTTCCGTGTAACCATGGCTCCACACGGCTGGGGCTCCTGAGGCATCTCCGGCTGAAGGCTGGTCAATCTTGAAACAACGGATGTTACTGCAATGAGAAGCAATGAGAAGCAAAGAATTAATGCTTCAAATGCCAAGCGTATAACAGTCTGAATGTTCCTTCTCTCTTACGGCATTCTATTCACTATACTTAAAAGTTGCTTTTTCAGGAGGTAACAGTTTTGATCCCTGTCTACAACAAGGGGAAAACAGGCAGGCATATAGTCATTACTTTACCCTTTACTCGGTTATTTCTTTTGCAAAGGCAGCGTTGTCAAACATGAGAGAATTTTTAAAAATGGAGGGAACAAGGATTTGCCTGGATACTGCATTGCAAAAAATAATGATACAGAGATAAACATGATTTCCACCCCTAACTTTGAGATATTTGCACATTACGTTCACAGTGTAGCGTTTTGCCAAGTTTTGATTATGCTTCTGCTAAGATGTATTATCTTTGGTGTTCAGCCAACGGCGGCTCACAGACTCTCGCTTGTTCAGATAGAGATCCACTTGCCCAACAATCTTATCTCCCTGCAGGGGAAAAAAAACACCACCCACGGCTGCTGCAAACCTTATGTTGTTCTTATACGGCAGCAATCGCCTGACAGTCACCACTGAAGGCTCCTATTCCGGTGGCCTGTATCACCTGCAAATTTTTCTAGGAGGAAAAGCTCTCCCTGAAACTGTGCTACTTTCACATCTACCCATTCTCCTGAACACCAAGTACAGTGGTACCTCAGGTTACATACGCTTCAGGTTACGGACTCCGCTAACCCAGAAATAGTGCTTCAGGTTAAGAACTTTGCTTCAGGATGAGAACAAAAAGCGTGCTCCGGCGGCGCAGCAGCACCATTAGCTAAAGTGGTGCTTCAGGTTAGGAACAGTTTCAGGTTAGGAACGGACCTCCGGAACGAATTAAGTACTTAACCTGAGGTACCACTGTAGTCTTTTATTATGCATGGAAAACTGTAGATTCTTCAGCATATTGTAACCCTATCAATCTTCCACTCCCTTCCTCCTCCTTTCAAATAAACTATATAACCCCAGCAGCAGTTAACCTTTGGTCTGAATTTCTGGGCATATGAAGCAGCAGGGAGGTTGACGTGGCCTTCAGACTTAATTCATTCACGTACTGTGTGTGTGTGTGTGTGTGGACACACACGTGAGACCCAAGAAGAAAAGGGGGGACAGATCTGGACGACTGCCCAATTGCTACGTGCTCTAGCACTGCGACAGTTCAGAGGACAACACGAGTCCCTTTAAAAGCTCCATAGGTGCAGGAATAAAGGATATATGGGGAGAAATCAAGAGATGCCTCTACGTCTATATTCCATTCTGACACCAACCTCCAGAAGTGGCTAAGAAACTTAAGAAGGCGCCGTAATGAGAAAGAAGGTTCTTTCTATCATATGCGGTGGTTTTGTAGTAAGGTCAAAGCTTACTGGGAAATGATATATAATGAAATGAAAAGGATGTTTAAAATAACCTTTGTAAAAAGACCAGAAGCTTTTCCTTTGGGAATTATAGGGACAGAACTGCCTAAAATGTATAGAAACTTATTCATATATGCTACTACAGCGGCAAGAATGTTACTTGCCCAAAAATGGAAAGAAGCAGAAGTCCCAGTAAAGGAAGAATTGATACAAAAAATGGAATATGCAGAAATGGTGAAACTTACCGGAAGAATAAGAAATCTTTTTATGAAAGAATGGAAATGGTTTGTTGAATATTTACAGATAAATTATAAACAGATAAAAACATTAGCAGGATTATTGTAACAACCTGCAATTTTATAAGAGTATATATTTAAAGAAGCGGAATAAATGAGCAAATTAAGTTAATTTGGATATGCAAAAGATATTAATTAAAAACAAATTTAAGGAACCACAGAAAGAGGGGGATGGAAGTCAAGTTTTGAAATGTCAAAATGAAAGTAAAATTAGTGAAATGTGTAAACTTGAAAACTATAAATATTATATGTATTTTTTTAAAAAAAAAACTTAAGAAGACCCCCTGCTTGATCACACCAAAGTCTTATTTAATCCAGCATCCATTTCCCCATCATGGACAACCAGGAGACACCCAAATGCAAGACATGAGCGCAATAGCCCTCTCTCACTGTTGCTGCTGGGAGCCTTTTTCTGATCCTGGAGGCAGCATATAGCTGTCACAACAAGTATGTTAAACTGTTGACCCGCGTAACTTTATGGGGAGCCAAAGAGTGTCAAGGTGTGCCTCTTCCCTGCATAGCCCTGGCCCTGGGTTCCAATTTCTTTACCCTGCAAGGGCATGATGGAACATCATGCAAAGGTGGCACATTATCTGGCCCTGAAGACAAATGGGACAGAAGTAAAGGAAGAGTACAAGAGTCAAGGAACCCAAGGCAAGGACTGGAAACAAAGGCATGACTGGCTGGCAGCAAGCAGCACTGCAGGACTGCAGCAGGCCGAGACAGGCTTTGCAGCGGATGTGGACTTCCAGGGAGGATTTTGAGAAAAATAGCTTAGCGAATTGAACGGGAAAGGCTGTGTTCTTTGCAGTTAGCATTATGGCAACTGTAATTCACACAGGACGTGTTTTTACAAGTTTGCAAGGAGGCTCAGAGGAGGCAAGGCAGATGTTTACAAAGAGTGAGGAAAGTGATCTCTGAAAAAATCCCCGCCCGCCCCTGGCACCTATAAAAGAAGATATGAACTTGCTGACAATTTCACCCTTTGGAACCTGCAGGTTACAAAGGGCATTTAAAGGCCTCTCATAGCTTCAGAGTGTTCCTAGGAGGCAGAGGAGGAGAAGGAAGAAAGCCTCAGTATTACTTGACTGTGCCATGAGAAACTCTATTGTGCAATTTGAGAATCTATTAAAAAAAACAGCAGCAGCAGCTATCTTCATCGGCATAAATGACAGCAATAAATTTCAGCGAAGGAGAACTTTGTCATGATCAGGCTTGAGGTCAGGAGTTGCTGAATTCAGATTACACGGCAGTTAAAAAGGGACAAAAAGTGAAGAAACCTGGCTCTTTTCGTTGTTGAAAACCATACAACTTTTCAGGGTTTAAGAGACTGCTATTTACAGTGGTACCTTGGGTTAAGTACTTAATTCATTCTGGAGGTCCGTTCTTAACCTGAAACTGTTTTTAACCTGAAGCACCACTTTAGCTAATGGGCCCTCCTGCTACTGCCGCACCGCCGGAGCACGATTTCTGTTCTTATCCTGAAGCAAAGTTCTTAACCCGAAACACTATTTCTGGGTTAGAGGAGTCTGTAACCCGAAGCATGTGTAACCTGAAGCATATGTAACCCGAAGTACCACTGTAGTTGTACCTTGGTTGTTGAATGCCTTGTGACTCGAACGTTTTGGTTCCCAAACACCGCAAATCCGGAAGTGAGTGTTCCGGTTTGCGAACGTTCTTTGGAACCCAAACATCCGACGCTGCTTCCGTGGTTTCCGATTGAGTGCAGGAACCTCCTGCACTCAATTGGAAGCCGCGCCTTGCTTTTCAAACTTTTTCAGAAGTCAAACGGACTTCCGGAACAGATTCCGTTCGAGAACCAAGGTACGACAGTATTATTATCTAAGGGCTTCTTTTGCAAGCATCTTGAGTTCTCACTGTAAACTCCTGTACGTAGAAGAAACTGACATTTCTTGGCTTGTGGGGAAAGTACCCTCTTGATTAGTCTCAAGTTCAGCGTAACACGCCCCCCCCCATACCCCAACCCTTACCTCCTGCAACATGGCTACATATTTATGACAATCAACTATATTCCCTCCCCGATTCTCCAACTGCAAACTTCCTTTCTACAAAAGTTCTTGGACAACTCAGTCCTCCCTTGTCAACAGAAAGTCATGTCCTTCCCCCAAACTGCTTGGTCTCCCTGTTCATTCTGGCACCTACGGTGGAACCAAAACAGTGCAGTGGTTAAGAGCTGTGGATTCGGGTTTGGGAGACCAGGGTTCAATCCCCACTCACAGAGTGGCCTTGGGCCAGTCACCGTTTCTCTCAGCCCAACCTACCTTGCAGGGTTGGGTTGTTTTGAGGATAAAGGGACTGGCGGAGGAGAGGAGAAGAGTTTGGATTTCATATCCCACTTTATCACTACCCGAAGGAGTCTCAAAGCGGCTAACATTCTCCTTTCCCTTCCTTCCCCCACAACAAACACTCTGTGAGGTGAGTGGGGCTGAGAGACTTCAGAGAAGTGTGACTGGCCCAAGGTCACCCAGCAGCTGCATGTGGAGGAGTGGGGAAGCGAACCCGGTTCACCAGATTACGAGTCCACCGCTCTTAACCACTACACCACACTGGCTCTCTCTCACACTGGAGGAAAGGACCATGTACTCTGAGCTCCTTGAAAGATAGGCAGGATATGAAGTAAATATATACTGGATCAGGAGTGGGATGGTGGGGTGTTTTGAGTCTAGCATGGGGCACATTTTCTCTCCCTCCCCAGCTCGGTGGGGGAGCAGAACAGCTCTCTGGATTCAACAGAAAGATGGTAGAAGTAACAGATACGGTTGCTAGGTAAGAAGAACAGGCCTTGAAACCTACCCCCAGGACATGCACCTGAGGGTAATGCAAGCGGAAAGAATGGCACTATTGGGCTTGGGTTGGAAGAAACAAGCTGGGGGGTTTTGTGAGGGAGCTGCAGCAATCTGCATGACCAAAATGTGCCTGTCATTTAGCTAGTGTAGCAATAAAAGAAGGAACATTTCTCTCCCCATTCCCCAGCCCCGTTTTCAAATGATGTGCACCTGATGTTTATATACTGGGTGTGTTTTCTTTCCTGAGTGCTTTGTGTACCCTTCTGCCTACCGTGTAATAAAGTTTGACTGTTCCTTACTTCAATAGCTCCAGGGTTTTGTGATCCAGGGCAAGTCTGGGGTTTCCAGTCAAGTCTAGTTCCTGCAGCTTCGGAGGCAAGTTTTCAGGTAATGTGACTTCAGTCAGCTCATTACAGCTCAGGTCCACACACTGAAGAATTGAAGAGAGAGAGAGAGAAGAGAAAGCAATGAGTTCTCGGCATGAATCCTCTGGCCTTGTCCATTTCTGGCTAAGTGGATGAAGTGGCAAGCCATTGTCTGGACTGTACCATGTTAGAAACCACATGTGGGAGGTCACATGATGGAAGACTCCTAGGAGAGCAGGTGTGTGACATTCTCACACAGAGGCCATGTCTGGATGACCGTGTCACTGAGACGTGAACAAGCTGCACTGTTCTCTCTGCGCAAGTGTTAAAACAAGCCTGCAAACCACGGTTTACCACAGCTTCCCACTGTGTCTGAAGCAGAAGCCTTCTGTTAATGAGCAAGTTTGGATATGAAGCCATGGTTTAAAAGGTAGTTTCAAACCCTGGCTTGTTTGGGAGCCATTAACCATGGTTTCCCAGTTCTGACAACCGTGGTTTAATGTTGCTTCCTGGCTTGTTTCCCTGGTAACATGAATGGAGAAGTGAAGCAGCTGCATGTGGGTGCAAGAGGCTTATTTAACTATAGACTGCAATTAGAAGAATCCCTTCTCCCTGACATCTAATTTTCTGTGTGTAAGAACGCTGCCAATTTTCACAAAGGAGCTTTATGTGTGAACTCACACCGGCAGTCTGAAGTAGCACAGCCCAAAAACAGGTTGTTTGAAAGAACTGGGCCAAAGCCTCTCCTCTCCTCTAGGGAGTTACACAGCTGCTGTATCACAAAAGCACCAGGCACCTTTTTTATAGACTCCACGAAGTAAATTCTTTTGCAATATTTCACGGCATCACAAAACATTGATTAAAAATGTGTGATTTCTGTTCCCCCGACCTTCCAAACTTCACTCATGTTGCAAAACAAGCAGCGATCTGCCTGCTGTCTTTGTTATCGGGGTAATTCTTCTTCTTAATTTGATGGAGCACATCCATATCAAACAAGTTTTAATTAAAAGTAATATGAGTACATAGATGGGGCGAAGGAGTCCTCTTAATTTAGAGATAGCTGCTGGTGCCCACCTCTAGCCTGTAATAAAGGGAAGGCTATCCATTTAACAGTGTGTTCAAAAGGCACCTTGAGTTAAACAAACACAAGCCACAAAGTAAAAGCAATTAATGGCAAAGAGCTGGAACACTGGCAAAGATATTTAACTATTTATTAGGTAGTATATTTATTTGTATTAAATTTGTATACCACCCGTCCCGTCATCCAAAAATCACAGAACGGTTCACAACATAAATGAGAATACTACCAAGTCGGGGGGGGGGGAGAGAATAAAACAGGGAAATGTTATTAATGATAAAATCCTAAAGCCTCTCAAAGGAATACTTTAATTCTTTTGCACTGCAGAGATGTGGAATGAATGAATATAGCCCATGCACATAATTAAAGGCAATGTGACACAAATCCAAAACACACAACATAGCATTCAGAACATGAGTGGGAGAGGCACAGCTTAAAAGCCACGTCCAACCTATTAAATTTTACTTTGTGGTCTTCCAACGTGAACCTTGGGAATGGACAGCATGTGACTCTTAGGAATGACTTTGTGGGTGATCTGGTGGTAAAGGTAAAGGTAAAGGAACCCCTGACCATTAGGTCCAGTCGTGGCAGACTCTGGGGTTGCGGCGCTCATCTCGCTTTATTGGCCAAGGGAGCCAGCGTACAGCTTCCGGGTCATGTGGCCAGCATGACTAAGCCGCTTCTGGCGAACCAGAGCACCGCACAGAACGCTGTTTACCTTCCTGCCGGAGCGGTACCTATTTATCTACTTGCACTTTGACGTGCTTTCGAACTGCTAGGTTGGCAGGAGCAGGGACCGAGCAACAGGAGCTCACCCCGTCGTGGGGATTCAAACAGACGACCTGCTGATCGGCAAGTCCTAGGCTCTGTGGTTTAACCCACAGCGCCACCCGCGTCAATCTGATGTTAGAAGCTGGTAATTCTAGCAGCTAGTTGAAAAAAATATGGCTTGACCAGTTTGGGGAGGCTGATAGTTAGTTCTTCATCCCAGACATGCAAAATATCCCCATTTACACCTCTTCCGCATCTGGCCACAATGCTGATATGTTGATCGATTTCCCCAGGGAATCTCTCTGCTTGGGTTCAGACAACATGGAAAACTAACGGTACTCTCTGAAACACTCTCTGAATCACATGGCATGTTCACACCTTGACAATTTGGGCATGATCCTGTATTTCCATTACAGGCTACCTTCAAAATACCTAAGAGGAGCCCTACGCAGGGCGCATACTTTTAAAAAACAAAACCTGTACCTTGATTTCACCAAGCTGCATGACCTCTGGGAAGACTTCGATACAATTGGAGTGTGCAATCACAGTATGCATGCGTCGACAGTTCATAATGGTTGTGGGGATAGATTTCAGTTTGTTTCCGCTAACGTCAATTTCTTCCAGCTCTTCAAGTTTGGCCATTTTACTACACACACACAGACACACGAGAAAGGGAAGGGAAAGAAAAGAAAATGATAAGAAAATACACATTTTGATTATTAGGAAGTACTCAGAAATTTTATGTTAAAAGCTGTTATTCTGAGATAAAAGGCAATTTCCTCCGAATGAATTGTTGCATGGCAACCTTTCAACGTGTGGCTCGCACGGAGAGCTCAGCAGTCTGAATTAGCATTCGGCGATGGATAAATGTGTCCATTCCAGAAGGTGGCAGCAGGTCTATGGGTAGCTGGTGTGGGTCTTGCAGACAGCGGGGTCCATCTTTTGTGCATTCATGGTCTCATTTTACAGGGCGAGGCTTTGCATTCAACTCTGTTGGGTCAGCTCCACTTATCAAATGACACTAATCAATGGACCTCAAAGGGTTTGGGTGAGGGCCAACAAGAAAAGGAAGTGCTGTAAATGCTACAGACATGGGTGGCTTCATGCTGCAGGCAAACTTAATCATAGAACTGGAAATGGCCTTGGGGAATCATCTAGTCGAAATCCCTGGCTCGGTGCAGGATGCAACACAGCATCTCTGGAAAGATGTCCAGCTTCTGCTTAAATGCCTCAAGATAAAAGGCGAGCTCATCGCCTCCCAAGGCATCCTGCCCCACTGTTAAATAGGGTGTAACGGTAAGGGTAAGGACCCTGACATTAGGTCCAGTTGTGATCGACTCTGGGGTTGCGACACTCATCTCGCTTTATTGGCCGAGGGAGCCAGCGTACAGCTTCCTGGTCATGTGGCCAGCATGACTAAGCCGCTTCTGGTGAACCAGAGCAGCGCACGGAAACACCGTTTACCTTCCCGCTGGAGCGGTACCTATTTATCTACTTGGACTTTGAGGTGCTTTCGAACTGCTAGGTTGGCAGGAGCAGGGACCAAGCAACGGGAGCTCACCCCATTGCAGGGATTCGAACCGCCAACCTTCTGATCGGCAAGTCCTAGGCTTTGTGGTTTAACCCACAGCGCCATCCGTGTCCCTTTAAATAGGGTGTAACAGCAACAAATAACAAATCTAATCCATCGTCCACACGAAAGCCCTTCAGACATTTGAAGGCAGCTCTCTATCAGATCTGCCGCTAATCTTTCCTTCTCCAGGGTAAACAGACATCGGTTCTTTCAACCGTTCCTCACAGGACCTGGGTTTCAAGAACCCTTGCTTGGAACCTGGGCTGCACTCCTCTGGGGGGCAAACAACAACACACCAGTACTACTTAAAATGTGACTTCCAGAAACTGAAAGAGTACACCAGATATAATCTGACAGCACAAAATAGAAAGCAATCATTACTTCTTGTCAGCTTGACATTATGTGTCTGTAAAGTGATTGCATTAGTTGTTGTTGCTTTTAAGCAACTGCTCTACACTGCTGGCTCATTTTCACGACAGCTCAACTGTACTGTGTGCCTGGTACGAGCTCTCCTTTGCTTTTGCTACCTTTTAGCCTACCGGCTAACTGAAATTTGTTGCAACCATCTTCCTCCTGCCTGCTCACAGGGTCACTATCTCGCTGATGCATCCCCCTCTGGCCGGCAAACAAACCACACTTCACTGAGGTGGAAGCAACACAATCTCCTCCCATCTTAAGTACCTGACAATGAGATGCTTTGTTTCCAAGTCAGAGGGAGTGGTAGTGATTAGGCAGGTGAGTGAGTGAGACTGGGAGACACTGGTATTAAAACTGCAACACTGAGCCATGGTGGTTTTTTGTTTCGTTTTAAAAAGAGGGCATTTCTAGCTTTTTATAAACCCACCACTGCCCTATACAGCTACAGGGGTCAAACACAGACATCCTAACTGCTGAGGGAAAATCACCAGACACAAAAATTGAGAGGGGAAGCCTCCGTTGGGGGCACAGAATCAGGAAGGGCTTTGTGCTGAAATGGGACTAGAAACCTTGGAACTAATGTGCTAGAAGGAAGAGATGTGGGGTAGAGAGAGGAGGGATGTCACACGCTGCTGTTAAACTGGAGCAGCCTTTCTCAACCTGTGGGTCCCCAGATGTTGTTGAACTACAACTCCCATCACCCCTAGCTAGCAAGGCCAGAGCTCAGGGATGATGTAGTCCAACAACATCTGGGGACCCACAGGTTGAGAACCGCTGCAGTCTGGAGTAATGCTTGCGCATGGGCACAAGTCCAGTGGGCAAAAATATCAAGCCTCCCTCTTTCGCCCGGTCCTGGCTCCTTGGGCAGGAATGCAAACTCATCTTCCAGCTTCCTCCTTCCCTGGGGTTTTTGCAAGGTGCCACGAGGCTAGCATCCCCAACATCCTCTCCTCCTCTGAGCTGCTACTGCCCGGGGTAAACAATGAGCATACCAATCGCCTTGCCTGCCTTTCTGTACACAATACGAAACAGGTCACACTCCTCCCCTCCATAAACCCCTGATCTATTGGGTCTGACCATCCAGGTTTGCCAAACACGTGAAATAAATAAAAAATACCGGTTTATCCCATCCGCCTCTGCCATTTTACAAATATGCACATAAAATATACCACACAGTAGGGAACAAAAATGCATTTTGCTCCCCAATGAAGACAAAGTTTAACTGCATTTGCTTACGCTGATCCCTAATTAGCCTTTCCACTCATATTTCTCCATTTGTTTTGGTACCTCTCAGGCTCATGGCATCCCATTGTTTTGCACATCAAAGAGTTTTGACGGTAAGCTATTTGGGGCCGAGACCCTGAGCTAGCTTTTCAAAGCGGCAGGTATGTGTACACAGCACTTTTGGGAGCAGTCATCGCAACCACCTCCTTCAAGCGTTCTAAAGGCAGCCCCTGGCAACGGCCGCCTCTGCTCCTACCTTGCGGGAAAGCTCTGCAGGCGGTTGTAGGCCATATGCAAGATCTTCAGGTGCGGGTGACCCGTTAATAAGGGCACGCATTTATCCGTGAGGTGATTGTTGGTCAAATACAGTTCCTGCAAAATGCTGTGGGTCTCTTCCGAAAGAGTGGCTGGAGGCAGCATTTCCAGTTTGTTGGCAGAAGCGTTCAGGTACCTTAAGCTGAAAAACAAAGTACATTGACGTCAAATTCACACTCTTGTCCATTCCATAATTAATTAATTAATTAATTATAATTAATAAGAAAATAATAATTGGCACCCCACCCATCTGACTGGGTTGCCCCAGCCACTCTCGGCAGCTTCCAGCATACTATATATAAAAACATAGTAAAACATTGAAAACCTTCCCTATACAGGGCTGCCTTCAGATGTTTCCTAAATGCTATATAATTACTCATCTCCTTAACATCTGATGGGAGGGCATTCCACCAGGGGGGACAGACCCACTACTGAGAAGGCCCTCTGCCTGGTCCCCTGTAGCTTCACTTCTTGCAGTATGGGAACTGCCAGAAGGCCCTTAGTGCAGGACCTCAGTGTCTGGGCAGAACCATGGGGGGTGGAGATGCTCCTTCAGGTATACAGGACCGAGGCCGTTTAGGGCTTTAAAGGTCAGCACCAACACTTTGAATTGTGCTCAGAAACGCACTGGGAGCAAATGCAGATCTCTCAGGACCGGTGTTATGTGGTCCCAGCGGCCACTCCCAGTCACCATTCTAGCTGCCGCATTCTGGATTAATTGCAGTTTCCGGGTCACCTTCAAAGGTAGCCCCACGTAGAGCGCATTTCAGTAGTCCAAGCAAGAGATAACCAGCACATGTACCACTCTGGCGAGACAGTCCGCAGGCAGGTAAGGTCTCAGCAGGCATACCAGATGGAGCTGGTAGACAGGCACCCTGGACACGGAATTAACCTGTGACTCCATGGACAGCTTTGAGTCCAAAATGACTCCCAGGCTGCGCACCTGTTCCTTCAGGGGCACAGTTGCCCCATTCAGGGCCAGGGAGTCCTCCACACCCACCCGCCCCCTGTCCCCACAAAATAGTACTTCTGCCTTGTCAGGATTCAACTTTAACCCATTAGCCACCATCCATCCTCCAACCACCTCCAAACACTCACACAAAAAGCGGCACATGGGGAGAAGAGAATAAGCACTTGAGCCACCACAGAAATGACAAAGAATGCCAGGAGCGACAGATGAACCCAAAGCACCTAGTTGTTATAGTCACCGGGTAGAATTTTCTGTATCAAAAGAATGCACTGTGGCATGGGAAACAGTGAGAGTACCCCACAAGTAGGAAGTAGCATGTGGGGTTTGCGCACACATTGCCCTACATGGACAAAATGGTAAGAAGAAGAAGAAGAGTTTGGATTTGATATCCTGCTTTATCACTACCCGAAGGAGTCTCAAAGCGGCTAACATTCTCCTTTCCCTTCCTCCCCCACAACAAACACTCTGTGAGGTGAGTGGGGCTGAGAGACTTCAGAGAAGTGTGACTGGCCCAAGGTCACCCAGCAGCTGCATGTGGAGGAGTGGGGAAGCGAACCAGGTTCACCAGATTACAAGTCCACTGCTCTTAACCACTACACCACACTGGCTCTCCGGGAAGCCATGGCAACTGTCTGTTTTCCAGCAAGCATGCTGGGCAGAGGAGGAATGGTGGAGACCGCCCACCCCCAACCTGACCCTTCCAGAGAAGAACACAATTCAGAATTACAACAGGGGTTTGAGGGAGGTCACAGCTAAGAGCCAAACGAGGGGAAAAGTTGGGAAATAATGGGAGAGGAGGGGGAGGAAGAAGCACCAAGGGGGCAACAGCTGACGGAAATGCTTGATGAAGAGGGAGAGACGGAGGGAGTGGAGACTCACTCAGGACATTATTCCCAGAGGCTGCATTCCCAAGCCTCTCTCTGTGTGAATATTGAATAAAAAAGTAAGGACTTTTCCTTGTCCTATCCTTTCCTGGCAGCCTGTCGTGGGAGTTGGTTCCTCTACCGCCTGACAGATGTGTGAGGTATAAATAAGAAAATAATAATAATAATTTAACAGGACGCCCCCATTTTCATCGGAGAAATAAATGCTGGAGGGTATGTGCATCTAGGGACGTGGGTGGCGCTGTGGGTTAAACCACAGAGCCTAGGACTTGCCGATCAGAAGCTCGGCGGTTCAAATCCCTGCAACGGGGTGAGCTCCCGTTGCTCGGTCCCTGCTCCTGCCAACCTAGCAGTTCGAAGTAGATAAATAGGTACCGGTCCCGCGGGAAGGTAAGCGGCATTTTCGTGCGCTGCTCTGGTTCGCCAGAAGCGGCTTAGTCATGCTGGCCACATGACCCGGAAGCTGTACGCCGGCTCCCTTGGCCAATAAAGCAAGATGAGCACCGCAACCCCAGAGTCGGCCATGACTGGACCTAATGGTCAGGGGTCCCTTTACGTGCATCTAGTCCACAGAATGAAAGCTTGAAAACAAGTGGGCACAAGATTCATTGCAATGGCATAATAATAATAATAATAATAATAATAATAATAATAATAATAATATACTGCCCTATACGTATAGGTCTCAGGGCAGTTCACAAGAAGCCCAGGAGAGAGAGAGAGAGAGGGGGGGGGCTTTAAAGCGTTCAGGAAGTATAGAAAGCGTCTCTTCCCACATCATCCCAAACTTCCTCTCTATTATTCTAAAACTGACGATTATGCCGGGTTTTTGTGTTTTTTAAATCACCGTGATATCACAAACAGAACTATTCTCACAAATGCCATCCCATTTATTTCAAGTACATAGTTGGGGTTATCTTGGTACAACATACAGATCATTTTTGCTGGGAGCAAGAGCAGCTCCTGCTTGTAGTGAAGAGATTCCCTGAGGTATTTCGCGGGCGGTGTGCCAGTTCTGTTTGAATTCCAAGAAAACCGGCTGTAGTGAGTGTGTGTGTGTGTGTGTGTGTGTGCACGCAGGCACGCTTTAGTTTTAAAATTCTTAGCTGTCATGGCTGCAAGGTTACAAAGACAATTAAATCAAAATTTAAAAGGAAACAGAAACAAATGCAAAATCATTTGTTCTTGCAACAAGCAAGTTTGCTCCCTCACCCCCTTCTCCTCTTCTCTGGCTCAAAAGTTCCCCATATTTAAAGAGAACAAGTAGTTCAACAGAAGAATATTGTGGAAAAGGTGTTGATCTATTTCCACAGGCCTGTCATTCTCTAGGGTCAGGGAGAATTTTGGGCTTTGTGGAAGCGCTTCAGGTTACACAATCTGGGATGACAAAAGAAACTGGCACAGTGTGAATGTTAAGCCCCAAAGTGGGTCATGTGAATCAGCTCAGAGGGGTAACTATACTTGTAAGTGTAGTTTTCATATTCTTTTGAGAAGTGAGGGTAGTTTCTTTCAATGTAATGTCACCTCTGAGACTGTGAGTGGAAACGAAATACTGGCATGGGGGTGAGGGAGGAGGGTTATTGCTGCTTCCCTCAAGCAATTTCGAAGCCGAAATTTTGCTGTTACTGTATTACACAGGGCTTGAGGGAAGGGGAAAAAATGGAGACCTTGAATTAATTAATTTATTTATTTATTTAGCTAGCTAGCTAGCTAGCTAGCTAGCAATAAATAAAGTTTATTTTATTTTCCACCTCATGAGAAGAGAAGACTCCCTGGAAAAGACCCTGATGTTGGGAAAGATGTAGGGCACAAGGAGAAGGGGGCGACAGAGGACGAGATGGTTGGTTCTCGAAGCTACCGATTTTGACCAAACTGCGGGAGACAGTGGAAGACAGGAGTGCCTGGCGTGCTCTGGTCCATGGGATCACGAAGAGTCGGACACGACTAAACGACTAAACAACAACAAAATGAGACAAAAGCTGCTCTGGAGGAGAGATGGGAGGCAAGCAAGGCTCAGCGCTGCTTTTACAAATTTGCATTATTTTATGTATCTATAGTTCTACTTATGTCCTACAACAGTGCCCATTGGCCAAACATGCAGGAAAGCTGCAAGATCCATTTCCTGTCAGTCAACCAACCAACCAACCAACCAATCAATCAATCCTGGGCCTGGGTGAAGCTGTGGCCAAGCCAAACGCTGTTGCCGAATGTTGTTGCCTTCCCACAACAATGCCTGACCCGGCAGTAAGTGTCATTACACAATAGATGAAACATGTATGAATGATTTCCCCCCCTCAAATTTTTCTTCTTTCTTTATGCTTCCACTGTCCCCTTATTTTTATTCAATGTGTTAAGTTGTGGGTGAACATATCAGACGACACAGCGATTCTTCAACAGCTCTTGTTTATTCACAGGCCAGAACAGAACTGAACTGAAGGGTTCAGCCAGCCTGCTTATATAGAGCTCCAGGACAACGTAATTGTAACAACTTTCTGTAACTATCCAATCACTGAACGTCACTTTCGATCCCTTATTTGCATATGTGGACCTGAACTATCTACAGTATCCCCCTGCTGGCCCAGGGTGAGAACTTCAGTACATAACACAATGCCCTCCCCCCAATTGCACCCATGGCTACTACCACCCTCTGGATCCACCCCAAGGGGCAGTATCACCCACTTTGAGAAACACTGATCTAGTCCAACTCCCTTGAATGCAGCTGTCACTTGTGGGGATCAAAGATGAAACCCTTGAGGTTATCAGCACCACGCTCTAAGCAACTGAGCCATCCAGGATAGCAGCATTTTGGCCAGAACTTAAATTAGTTGTGATCTACAAGCAGAGAGGAAAGAGGGCTTGATGAAACAGTAACCGTTTTCTCATCAGAGTAAGGACAACCACACGAAATCCTGAAATTTATTAATCTGACAATTAATAAATTCAGTATTCCCCCCCCCCAGCCTGTTGAAACTTGCCTTCTGCAGCAAAGAAAAGGCCAGACACACGACTGCGACGTCACGTGGACTTCTGCATAGGGCTTTTGTGTGTGAGAGAGTGTGTTATAAAAGCCTTTCCATTAAAAATAAAATTGTCCAGGAGCTCAAGAGAACCGAAAGTAGGTTAGGTCTACACATTCCAGAGAAGTCATTCTCACAGGGAAAAAACAAGGCTTAATCATCAGGACCATTCATTATTTAGCGAGAGCTGTGAGCCTTCCTAGCGGGGCAGGGGAGGTGGGATTGAAATTTATGAGGTTATGAAAATGGGCAGAAGCCACTTGACTTAATC